TGAGCACTCTATGAGAAGATTGGAAGCTATCTTTCACGACTTCTGGCCTAAGCTAACAGCCCGAGAAGTACAGTCCCGGTTGAATTCCCGATCCCGAGATCAGCAGCAATAGAAGTGAGATGATGACAGGACCCCTGTGTGCATTACTTAATCACAAGCAACTGTTCCTCATTTCCACGATCCTTCTGTGCTGAAGGTCACTAAGGGCTTACTCACCTTGCATCAACCACACCAGCAATCAGCGACAAACCATACCATTCCTCAGCTGTCCCTTAGATGGGAAGAACTTCGACTTTGTCAGTTCTCAAGTTCGTGGATCAGGGATGCAGGCCTACACAAAGGAGCTGTCTTGCCTCACCGTTCAATTACAGCTATTCTTCATATCCAGAGACTGGGAATTGGCTAAACATGGGACTCACTACAGCATCTAGCCATAACACCTCCTGTAGGAGCAGAAAAGATGGGGGATGGGTCTGCGCCGATGTGTACACTGAGTGTTGAGTTCAATGTATATTATCGTGTCCAAAGTTTTACTTTTGGTGGGATTCAGAAGGTATCGGTATCGTGGAGAGTAGTCCAAATATAAAAAATAGAAGAGATCTTACTTACAATTAACAGAGCTTAACCCAGCTCTGGTGTGGATAGCTTGCAGCGGTATTATCCCCGCTTACAGGATATTCGGCAGGTATCCTCTTCTTTGTGGTAACAGGTGGCCGAAGTTGGGGAAGATAAAATGAAGACAGTAATGGTGCAGTATGTTCTACACTGATAAAAAATATTATAAAATATGATAGATACACTCACATTCGGTAGAGCTTAGGCTAGCTCTAGTTGGTTAGGCGTACAGCGGTATCATCCCCGCTTATGGGATATATGAGGAGTGATCTTGACCGGAATGTCAGGAGCTCGAAGAGAAGGTAAAACAGCGATAGTGCTCTCAATAAAATCTTAATTAGTAAAATAAAATAATAAAATATACTCACAATGTAGAGGGCAGACTAACTGCTCTATGTAACAGCGTAGGTGGTATAATCCCCACCTGGGATTCTTGGAGTATGGTATACAGGACTTTAAAATAATAAAAAAAGATAAAATGTAAATAAAAAGTAAATCAATGGCTTTATCGATGGTTTGTTATCCATTGATAAAGCCTTATATTGGTGAAACGCGTTTGGATATTTTTTACTATTTTATATATTGTTAATAAAAGATTTTGGTCATTTTTACGTTTATACCATCATCTTTTCTATTACCTGGCTATTTTATAAACTTTTTAATTACATTTTACCTCTTTTATTATTTTTAAAGTCCTGTACACCATACTCCAAGAATCCCAGGTGGGGATTATACCACCTACGCTGTTACATAGAGCAGTTAGTCTGCCCTATACATTGTGAGTATATTTTATTATTTTATTTTACTAATTAAGATTTTATTGAGAGCACTATCGCTGTTTTACCTTCTCTTCGAGCTCCTGACATTCCGGTCAAGATCACTCCTCATATATCCCATAAGCGGGGATGATACCGCTGTACGCCTAACCAACTAGAGCTAGCCTAAGCTCTACCGAATGTGAGTGTATCTATCATATTTTATAATATTTTTTATCAGTGTAGAACATACTGCACAATTACTGTCTTCATTTTATCTTCCCCAACTTCGGCCACCTGTTACCACAAAGAAGAGGATACCTGCCGAATATCCTGTAAGCGGGGATAATACCGCTGCAAGCTATCCACACCAGAGCTGGGTTAAGCTCTGTTAATTGTAAGTAAGATCTCTTCTATTTTTTATATTTGGACTACTCTCCACGATACCGATACCTTCTGAATCCCACCAAAAGTAAAACTTTGGACACGATAATATACATTGAACTCAACACTCAGTGTACACATCGGCGCAGACCCATCCGCCATCTTTTCTGCTCCTACCATTTGTATTCCAAGGACACTAGAGGGAGTACTTATTTGGGACTGCTGCCTCTCTGACTAGCGCTGACTCAACCCCCCGTTTTATAACACCTCCTGTATAAGCTTTGCTGGGTTTCCTGAAGGACTCCAACTCCCATTCTGTGTTCAGCTGTTCAGTCAAAAAATTTTGTCATTGACTTTACTTTAGTCTTAAATTTTTTTTTCATTTATCTTTTATTTCGTATGATTTATGTCGCATAGATGAGACACTCTGGTAGAGTTTTTAGATGCAGTGGTACTCCTCTGGGTAATGGCTTAGCATGTGATTTAGCATTCTTACCGTATGCTACTTCACCAGTTGTCACTGTGTCTGGAAAAGCTACTCGTTAGCAAGCCTCTATCTTAATATATACCCAGACATGACACTCTAGCTTATTATTACTATATTCTAAAAATGTGAGTTTACTCTACATGCCATGCTAACGCTTTATTACTAGGCTTGTAAATGTTGTCGTGGCACTACAAGTATGAATGTTATTATTTGCACAGCAAAAAAAAAGAATTAAAATAAAAGGTGATTAATTTATTCCCTTTTTATTTCCAAGACTTATATGTGAAAAGGAAATCCTACAGACTGTGAGCGAAGTACAACATCCATTCCTTGTTAACATGTTGGCAAGTTTCCAGACTCAGGGTCATTTCTGTTTTTTAATGGAGTATGCCGCTGGTGGGGACTTAATGACCAATATTAGGAACAACAACTTTCAGCCATTTTCCACAACCAGA